AAGATTAGACAATGAAATCGACAGATGAAGGTGGTTTACACGGTTTACACAAATGAGGGCGGTTTTCATATGATCACTCCTCTCTCTCTCTCTCTCTCTCTCTCTCTCTCTCTCTCTATATATATATATATATATAATCTAGCCTAATGTTTACCCAACAATTAGAAGATAAATTCCCTCGCTGAAACATCATAAGCATTATCAATGTAATATGGAATGAATTTTTTGGCAATTCCCTCGCTGATTTGCGAGGGATCAGCGAGGGAATTTGCAGAAAAAAATTTCTCTCGCAGATCAGCGAGGGAATGAGTTTTTTGGCATTTCTCTCGCTGATCCCTCGCTGATACTCGTCGTTGATACCTAGTTTTCTAATAATTATAAATAATGTCAACAATATGCATATGTTTTCTCTCACCATGGCCATTCTTGTTGATAGTTCCTCTTGGAGAGGAATATTAGGAAACAATGGCTTGTAGGCAAATAAATTGAATAAGAGAGGTTTCATTTTATTAATCCATTGCATTTTCCTATAGACCATGCGATCTAGCAATGTTCATTAATTTCTGATATTTATTTCGTTAAATACGTAATTACTAAGAATACAAAGACGAAAACACGAACATTTTACGCCTTTAAGGTTTTGTTTTATTAACCTAGATATTCAACCCGCTTTGCGAGCCGAATAATCCAGGACGACTACCTGCTTTGCAGATAGCCCGGAGTCACCGCATTTGAACCTTCTTGACCACAAATCCTTGGATTTGAACCTGAGACATCCAAATACTTTTGACTTTTGAAGTCAAGTTCAAACCAATCAGACACCACATTGTGGTTATCTTTATTACATATATATTAATTAAACCCTAGATTGATTATGCAATATTAAACTACAATAAACGGAAATGTGATATAAAAAATTTCATCCACCATCTTCAAGGTTATTACATATATATTAATTAAACCCTAGATACATTATGCAATATTAAACTACAATAATGGAAATATGATATAAAAAATTCCATCCACCATCTTCATGTCAGATTCTATGACGTAAGTATTTACCGACACAAACAAAAAAAGGGGCAAACGAGGCAGCCATCTTGGAAGAAATGTTCTATGAATAAAGCATCAAAACCCTAATTGGCATATGGCATACGTGTGAGGCTTTCGTCATCATGGTTTAAACCGACGCCACACCAAGTCGAAGAGCCAACCAGTTGGTATAACAACCCACATTTGAACGCCTATAAATCATGCCATTGCTCACTTCATAAACAAAGAAATCACAAAAGGGTCGTAAAGAAACAGAAGAATGGAGAAGCAAGAATGGGGTTTCAAGGAGAACCATGAGGTGCATGCAACTGCAGCTTTGACTATGAGAAACATTCTTGAAGCCCTCATCGCAAACATGGATGAAAATGGGACTGGGAAATCGATGATTCATCTGGGACACGGTGATCCTTCAATCTATCCTTGCTTTCGAACATCTACGATCGTTGAAGATGCATTAGTTGAAGCCACTCGATCTGCTAAGTTCAACTGTTATGCTCCTGGTGCTGGAATAGCTCCTGCAAGGAGGTTTGTTTTGTTACCTTTATTTAATTTCGGATTTTGCAGCTTAAGTTGTATCAAGATTTCCATATTTTGATTCTGATAATTGTTTTTTGAAAACCCTTGTGGTGGGTTACGCTTGGATTACACATCGATTAGACACCGACATTTCTTTAATTCAGGGACGTTCCAACCTTTTTTGAGGCTCTGATACATCCAAAACTTTTGATTATATTGCATAAATGAGATGACAAATAATATATGTTAAGAATAAAAAATGGGTTAAACCTAAAACAATTAACAATCTGAAACTAAAATTAAATAATTAATGATTTGAACCTAAAACCAAATAAGTAATAGTTTGAACCTAAATAATTTTCGCTATAGTTTTACAAAGGTCGATAAAAAAAAACCCTAAACACATGTAAATTTTGGGGCATGTTCAAAATCTCACATTTAATATGCTACTGGACGCATGTTCCTCATCTCTCAAAATTGATCTTTTGAAAATAATCTAATGGGTATCTATATGTATATCCAGAGTCAAAAGTCTATCAGGCTAGGGACTTGATGCTCTAGGGTAATATGTACCCTTCTAGCCCCCTCTTGTATGCCGGGGGAGTGTTGTAGTCCCACATCAGCACAGTTCTTGCATTCTCTCATCAAGAGCTCTTTTAGAGAGTAATCTGATGTGTATCTACATACATATTCTCTCGATTACAAGTTATCTATTTTGTTCATTAATAGTGCTATTGCCGAGTATCTATCAAGAGATCTTCCTTACAAGTTAACATCCAACGACGTATTCCTCACCGTTGGAGCAGACCATGCTATCGAAGTCTTGCTAACCGTTCTTGCTCGCCCCGGTGCAAATATATTGTTTCCAAGACCTAATTATCCAACGTATGAAGCCGAAGCTCGATTTAGTCCGCTCAAAGTTCGTCATTACGATCTCCTCCCAGAGAAAGGCTGGGAAGTTGATCTAGACGGTGTTAAAGCGTTGGCGGATGATCAAACTGTGGCTATAGTTCTCATCAACCCAGGGAACCCTTGTGGAAATGTTTTCACATTTAAGCACTTGAAAAAGGTGTGGTTATTGCTTTTAACTTCATTTCTCCCTACAACAAAATTGGATTTATAGTACGCCAAAAACGTATAGTTAACACTACAACAAAATCGGGTTTATAGGACAATCTCAAATTCTAAGTGTCCTAATAGACCTCTTTATAGGACTTAGTTTATAGGACCAAAAAAAAAATGTTCTATCTAAAGGTGTTGTAATTAGTTTATATGACGTTTTTTGACGTCGTAATAAGTTTTTTAGGACATTTGTAATACAAAGTGTCTTATTATCAACTTTATAGGACACTATTTGAAAAATTGTCCTATAAAAGCAACTGTCCGATAAAAAAATGAGTTTATAGGACACTTTCTCAAAAGTGTTCTATAAAGTTGCTAATGCGACACTTTGTATTAAAAATGTTCTAAAAAACTTGTTAAGACGCCCAAAAGCGTCATATAAACTTATTACAACACCTTTAGATAGAATACTTTATATTTTGGTCCTATAAATTAAGTCTTATAAAGAGGCCTATTGGAACACTTAGAGATCGAGGGTGTCCTATAAATTCAATTTTGTTGTAGTGTAAATATCCTAATAAATTAGTTTTATAGGACTTATGTTCATAAGATCAAACAGTAAAGCGTCATATTTACAGTATGCTTTTAGAAACAAGTTTTTTAAGAAATTTTCAAGAAAGATACGAACATTAGCATCTTGTTTTGTTCTTCATGATTGAAGATTGCAGAAACAGCAAGAAAACTTGGAATTCTGGTGATAGCAGATGAAGTTTATGCCCATCAAGTATTTGGAGAAAACCCGTTTATCCCGATGGGGGTATTTGGAGATATAGCACCCGTTGTGACGGTTGGGACATTATCAAAACGATGGATCGTTCCTGGTTGGCGTTTAGGTTGGATAGCGATAACTGATCCTATCGGCATTCTTCAACAAACCGGGGTTTTTTTCTTTCGTTTTCATCAACTTTTCTATCATATACAAATGAACAGATCGAGTTTTTCTCGTCTTATATATATAGATAATCGTTTCAGATTGCTGGTTCCCTAACAAGTTGTCTTACGATAACAGCTGATCCCCCTACTGTTATTCAGGTATATGATTTCAAGATCGATCGACTAACTCTTCACTACAACAAAATCGTATTTATAGGACACCAAAAATGTCTAAATTTCCTAATATACTGTATTATAGGACCAAACTATTGTGCAACCGTAAAAACGTTGCAATAAGTTTATAGTACACTTTTGGACGTCTTAACAAGTTTTTTTAGAAAATAAAGCGTCCTCATATTAATTTGTATGGCATTATTTCGAAAATGTCTTATAAAAACCATCGTATTTTTACAAGACACTTATCCAAAGTATCCTATAAAAAAACCAATACAACATTTTATTTTACAGTATCCTAAAAACTTGTTAAGACACCAAAAACGTCTTAAATTGACTGTAACACTTTAACATAGCGCATGCACAGTTGTTATGGTCCTGTAACATGAACTTAAAATGGCTTAATGAACTTAAAGTATATCCATTGATGTACCAGGGAGCAGTTCCTCACATCATAGAGAACACACCACACTCTTTTTTCTTGAACATCAACAAGTTACTAAAGGAGGCAGCAGACATGCTTTACAAGAGACTTAAGGAGATACCGCTTGTTTCATGCCCGTACAAACCCGAGGGATCAATGTTCGCCATGGTAATAAAGATCGAGTTTTTATGAAGTGCTTAACAGAATTTGTCTTTTAATTCCATTACCACAAAAAATGGCTGAATACTGGTCATGAGAAGGTCTTGGATTTAATTAAAAGCTCATTTAACGTTATATACATAAATGAGTTTGATTCGAATTTGGTTGCATATATAGGTGAAGTTAAACCCATCAGATTTTGATGATATAGTTGATGATACAGACTTCTGTATGAAGTTGGCAAGAGAGGAATCCATGATCCTTTTTCCAGGTAAGCAAAAACCCTAAATTGCATACTTAAAAGGGTGATTTTAACCATAAGGGTGGTGTCTCATTGGTTTGAGTTTGGCTCCAAAGGTCAAAAGTACCACGAGGTCTCACGTTCAAATCCAAGGAGGAATAAAAATCCCCTTGTTGCCATGGAGGTTCAAATGCGGTGACTCCGGGCTATCCCTGGGATTAGTCGGCTCGCATAGCGAGTTGGATATCCAGGTTAATCAAAAAAAAGGATGATCTTAGAAATAAGTAAAGTTCGTTTTGTTGCCTTAATTTTGATCGACGTTTATGACAATATCGATAATTGTAGGGGATGCTTTTGGTTTGAAGAACTGGGTTCGAGTGAGTTTTGCTGCAGATCAAAAAGTGCTTCAAGATGCAACTGGGAGGATGAAAGCGTTTTGCTTGAGACATGCAAAACATTACTAGGAAACTATATGTGATGATGGATAATTGTGCATCCAAATGATGGTTATATATATATATATATATATATATATATAGGGTTGATTCAAATGAAAACAAGATCAAAGTAATTATGAGAACACGAACATGCCATATCAATGTGATTTTTAGTATAAAATCACACATAATATTGGCGTTCAGATGTTCTCTTACTTAATTTGACCATGTTCTCGTTTGAACCTTTACTCCTATGTCTTTATATTTATATATATATATATATATATATATATATAAATCTATGTTCTTCCCCCCGCGTGTAGTTTTTCAATAAAGATCAATTTTTGGTTGACCATAGATGACGACTTTGTTATTGATATCATCAATTATTTTTATGGTAGTTGCTATTAAGAAAGTGGTACGAATAGTTGGTAAAGTTATTATTGTTATATGGCAATGTGTTCTTTGTCTCTTTGTATATGGCCTACGAATATTAGTTTTAGGGGTCGTTTATCAAACACTTACTTGGTAAGTGTTTATCAATAAAATTTAACATTATCATTTACTTATTGGGTAAGATTTTAGTTCACCAAAACGATATCGTATACAACAATTTACCCCGTAAGCGCTTGTTGTGATAAGGGTCGTCGCCCTCATTTACCGTGTAAGATTCTTGGTTTTTATCATATTCATTCGGTAAGGTAACGTGACTTAGTAAACGGTTATTCAGGTAAACGTTTGGTAAACGGTCCCTTAGCCAACCAAATTCCCAATATTTATATTCTTGGGATGAAGATGTATAACTTACGGTGACTCGATTATTAAGATTTTTACCAAGCAGCCAAACGGTACATTGGTCCAATTAGGTCAAAATGTGTGCAAACCATCCAACAACCGAAAGCAAAAACAGAACGGATCAACAAATGATATACTGTGTGCCATGACCATGATATCAATAATATAGCATATGATGGTTCGATATATAGCCATGTAATATGTTGGTCAAGCGCACCAATGGGTCAGGGTTTCAGTTCGGCTCTCGTGTTGGGGGGAAACGGGTTTGGTTAGAGATCAAAGTAATAACTTGGATTAAAGAAAATGGGATTTTCTCTCTATAAAATCTGATACCTTACACAAACGACATGTCGTTGTTGTAGTTTATTTAATAAATTTTCTTTGAAAAATGAAATATGATTTCTTATTAGAAATAATCAATAAACCGGTAGTTTATAGTGACTATATATCGTCGGTGTAGATCAAAAATTCAACGAAAATATTGGGGGGAATTTTGAAGTCTCTAGTGACGGCATACGTCGCTATAAGAATTTAATAAATTTGTTAGAAATTATAAAAAAGGGTGTTTTTCTGTAAGGTAACGTTTGGTTTGCGGAATGTTTTTGGATGGAATGGAATCTGGTAAAGGAATTTGACTTTGAAGGAATTGGAATGGAATGTTGTCAGGTTTGACCACCTGTTTGGTTGGCAGACATTGGAATGTAATTTGTTAAGGAATTGAAATCTGTCTGTTTGATTCACAGAATGTATCTTTAGAAGTTGAATAAAATATTGGGTAATTTTTATATTTCTTTAAAAAGTGGTTGAATATATTTCGACACAAAATTGGAGAAAAGTATCGAATATCAAATTAAATATGAGGGGTGTTATGACAGGTGCTACAGCAATGTACACTTCAGTACTTATTTAGAAAACTATCTTATTATCTTATTACTCAAAAGTCATATATCGAGTCCTTTTCGTTCTTATTTTACATGTTACTATGTCTAGAGATCGGATTGAAAATTTGGATTTGTTTCAAGTTAATAATGCAAAATAAGTAATTTGTTCAAAGTTGTTGTTGGTGAGTGATTGACTGCACTTCGAAAGAAGGTCGTTCAATCCAATAATGTGATGTTGAGAACTATTACTGCATCATGTCATGTTGTGGCAAGGTTCTGCTGCACTTGCACTGAAATCTCAACCAGATACTACACCCATGCTTTCTTTCATTTCTATTATATCTCTTAGTTGTTAAACTCTCACAAAAACAATGGCTTTGAATTGGTCATCTAAAATCCTCTTTAAGTTTGACTTTAACCCTTGATTTTGATTGTACCTGAGGTATGATATTTGGTAGTACTTACCATTATTATTTGATTTGGACGCCACTAGTAAGTCGAGTATACTTGCATAATTTACCGGTTGTTGTAGCCTTTTTATGGTACTTTCCTCCGACCAAATTTTCGGCGTCCCTGTCAAGGACTATACAAATACAAGGATTTTTAGTCGTTTTTAAAAGTTAACTTTTTTACCACCTTGTTCTAAGTGTATGCCACAATTTCAGATGTCAAAAGAATATTTTGGCAAAGGAGGAGAGTGCAACAAGCTCCATGGTATCAAGTCAAAGGACTAAATGTACAATGATCACATGAGAAACGTCTATTACACTCATATGACATCCAATGAAACATTCTCATAACGAGTCATTTCTAATACACAAGATCTCATCTTGTACCCACATCTGGAGTATGTATCTTCATATGAATCCCTATATATATTAGTTATACCATATTAATTCAACCTAAACCTAAATTAATACTTAACAAAGGGCATTTTAGAATACATTATTCTAAGGTTATTTATATGTTTAGATAAAGCACAAAATAATATGTAAACATAACAATTTGCAATGTCTTTCATTAATTAATACACAAAATCCAAACAGAAGCATCCTATGATTAGCTTTTGGCATATACATATGGGTACAAGATGAGATGTTGCATCGGACGTGACTTGCTATGAGAACATTTTATTGGATACCATATGAGTGTCATAAACGTTTCTCATATGATTATTGTATTTACAGTTAGTCTTTGACTTGATATTGGATAGCATAGAACCCAGAAATCAAAACAATTTCAAAAATCATTTTTGATTCTTATACCCCAAGATTGAGACTGATTCTCAACTATGTTTTCGAAAATACTTTTTCGAAAACAAAAATCATGCTCTAATAATTTATTCAAAATAAACATGCAATTTGAAAACGAAATATATATCTCAAAGTAAACAACATATGCAAACAATATATATATATATATATATATATATATAGAGGAGCGATCAAATGAAAACCATTCCAATTTGTAAAAACTACTCTCATCCGTCGTTAATCTTATTAAACTTTTTCATGAAATTGTTAATCTTGTGAAACTGTTTCATATAATACATTTTTGATGAACTTGTTTCATATATGGTTATGAAATTATTTCATATACTACTTAATAAAATTTTAATGAAACTGTTTCATATATTTCTCTAAAATTAAAATAATGAAGATGATAATATCCAAGATTAACATCCTACACAATAAATAATGATTAATCAATCTCTCATAATTACAAAAAAATGAACAAAATGAAAAATTATGATTGGTGGAATGAGGTTTTTACGGTTTTACAAATTGAGTGGTTTTCATTTGATCGCTCCCCTATATATATATATATATATATATATATAGAGAGAGAGAGAGAGAGAGAGACGGGATCCGTTGAAAACCGCCTGATTCTTAAAAACTGTGTATACCGATTTCGACCAATAGGAAAATTCCTTTTTTTAATTAAATTTAATCATTAAGGGTTAAATTGTCATCTACATTGGTTTTGAATAAATATGAAAGGTATTAAGTTGTGTTAATTAAGGAAACGTAATAAAGGAAATATTATAAATGGTAATACTAAATTGCTTATTTAATTTAGGTTCTTAAAAATTAAAAATGTTTTATTTTTTTTAAGGATTATTCCGAGTTAGAATATGAAGATCCAAATTTTGATATTGTTTGATCCACAAAATCAGTACCATACTTTTAAAAATGATTCACCATTAAAACAGAGATTCATGAACCAAAAACATTATCGTATAATTGAAACATATTCAATTACTGAAAACACAGTTGTCCTTTTGAAATAGTTGCTGATGAAATTGTTTCAAGTTTTTTTTTTTTTGTTATCTTGTTTGCTTAATGAAACGTGTTCAGATTGCAAAAACTGTAGTGATGAAATTGTTGCATAATTTACTAGGATAGAAAATATGTTCTATTAGAAAAGGGCATTAATTTAAGTGGAAAAGGGGAAAAAATTATAATTAAACGTATTCAGATTCTTGCATCATGATCCATCGTCTCATAATGGTCTCTCTCTATGTGTGTGTGTGTATGTGCGCGTGTTATATGATGGCATCTACTCATTGGTCCTAGTGCAGGAAGAATGTCACACAAATTTAAAAGATCTCACATTTTCGTAAATCGTTTATTTTTCCTTTACATAATATATAAAGGATTTGACAAGTCACTACTTGTCAATTTATTCACATTTTTCAAACAAGTTAGAATCTCATTCCATAAAATCAGATAGAATAAGATATAATATTAAATACTTTATTTAATTATGTATTCTTATTCATATATATACATTTCACATGTGTGACTTATTGGGACTTTATCACATTGACAATAATTATAAATTCTACTTATAATTATATACCAAGAGTGACATCTAGTAATACAACATATATTGTTACCCAAATGATAAAGTTTCGTGATTCAGCTAATCAGTAAAGTGTGTGATCATTATCAGTGTACACATTTATGTCCCTTTATTCAGATGTCTCGATCGAACACGAGGCATGGATGTGTCATCCTTGTTATGTCTGATCTGTAGTTTCTCGATCACGAAATATACTGATAAGACAGATATCAATATCCTATACTGATTGTTAGTATCATTTATTGATCATCTGAGCATGAATGCACTTCCTCAGTACTATTCAACCGAGGGGCCCAGAACATCATTCTCGTCATACAATAGGAATAAGTCTTATCTTGATCCATGCTAGTACTACTAAATGATATGAGATATACCCAACAACCATTCTATCATCCAGTTAGGAATGATTAGAATCAATTATCAAAGTACACCACTTACATAAAGCAAACACCATGATCTAAAGTCAAAGGACTAACTGTACAATGA